AGAGATGTTGTCCTCCAGAGATGTTGTCCTCCAGAGATGTTGTCCTCTAGAGATGTTGTCCTCCTGAAATGTTGTCCTCCTGAAATGTTGTCCTACAGAGATGTTGTCCTACAGAGATGTTGTCCTCCAGAAATGTTGTCCTACAGAGATTTTGTCCTCCAGAAATGTTGTCCTTCAGAGATGTTGTCCTTCAGAGATGTTGTCCTCCTGAAATGTTGTCCTCGTGACATGTTGTCCTCCTGAGATGTTGTCCTCCAGAGATGTTGTCCTCCAGAGATCTTGTCCTCCAGAGATGTTGTCCTCCAGAGATGTTGTCCTCCAGAGATGTTGTCCTCCAGAAATTTTGTCCTCCAGAGATCTTGTCCTCCAGAGATGTTGTCCTCCAGAAATGTTGTCCTTCAGAGATGTTGTCCTTCAGAGATGTTGTCCTCCTGAAATGTTGTCCTCCTGAAATGTTGTCCTCCTGAAATGTTGTCCTCCAGAGATCTTGTCCTCCAGAGATCTTGTCTTTCAGAGATGTTGCTGTGAAATGAATGTTTATTTTAACCATGAGACATCTCCAAAAGGTATTTCAGAGAATTTGGCAGTTCATCAAACCAGCCTCACAACTGGGTCCTGGTGGTCACAGACTGTAGAACATCACGTCCTGAAACCTAAAGCTGACTTAGCTTTGCATGTTGTCCATTACGGCTCTGTTGCTACCTCGCTATAGGCATCTCCAAGGAGCAACAGTGGTGGGTTGTCTTCAACACACACACACACAGACACCATACCACCTTGCAGTGCAGCAAAGACCTCTACACGGGAGAAACTGGACCACTTCTCCATCAGGGCACAGTCCAACACTGTCCACGTATGTCTCAAGGACAAGAGACACTCGTCTGAGGACAGAGATGTCCACAGTTTGGACAGAGAAGACAGAGAGACGTTGACGGCAGGACGAGGCCTGGAGTTTCAGCTCAACAGAACTTTACATTCTAACAAAGACTTCCTCCCTCTGATCACACGGTTTTATTTGCGTCACTTGTTTCATGAGTCACACTTTACATTTGTGATATTTCACAAAGAGCGGCCATTAAATCTGCGAACAACAACGTCTTCTACATTCATCTGGAATTATTTTCTCACAAGCTTTAAAAAGATGCAGTTTGTAGAAATTCTGTCACTTTTCTCCGAACAACAAGCTGCTCCTGAGAGCGACAATAAAAAAAAAACGGATCTTTTGCATCTGATGCAATTTTATCTGGAATTCCAGCCCTGAGAATATTTAACCTTAACGATGCCAAACGTTATACAAAGGGATTTCCCAATATGGCAACCAGCAGACACAAGTGTTGACTTTGAAAGCAAAATAAAAGCATCATTTCTCCAAAGTTCCTGCTGGAGAACGAGTTAACTCGGAGAAGGTCACGTTAGTGGACGGGGTCAGAAGACTCGTGTTGGAACTAACCTGGATCATGGCACCAGTTGTCACTGCAGCCGAGCTCAGAGTGGCAGAACTGGAAGAAGAACAAATCCTGCTCAAACCTCAGTGCTAGAAACATTTTTTTAATAAAAATCTTTTCTAAACATGGAAACAAGAAAAATAAACCCCGCAGATGATTTTACGACGAGGCAAAGCTTGAGCTCCAGAGTTTATGATGTGAGAAGTTTCCTGCTTTAGGTCCTGAGGCTTGTTTGAACTTCAGACGGTGGTCGTCACGAATCATTGTCCGTCTTCTTACACACGTTACGGTTCATGACGGAGACGGTTTCTGCTTCACGTTTGATCGCCCGCTGGCTCTGCTGGCAGGAGAGATCACATGTCTCCAGTTTCAGCTGCTCTCCATCGACTTCTAAATCTTAACCTACAAAGCCCTCAACAACCTAGATCCATCTTACATTACAGATCTTTTTGTTCCATATTTTCCTAACAGAGCACTTCGCTCTCAGACTGCAGGTTTACTTGTGGTTCCTAGAGTTTCCAAAAGCAGAAAGGGAAGAAGATCTTGCAGTTATCAGGCTCCTCTCTTGTGGAACCAACTTCCAGAGAGCCTGAAGACATGTGCTCACGATCACTTGCAGGTGTTCCACCTCCAGATGTTTCACCTGCAGGTGTTCCACCATAACAGAAGACACTTGAGTGAATGAAACTTCTAAACATCTGGCAACACGTTGGGATTTGCTTCTTCTCCAGATCCTTCTCCGTCTCAGCCGTCACTCGATGGTTCTTCTGTAAAGGAGTTCAGCTTCGTTCTTCACAGCAGTTCGTCTCCTCCGTGCCTCCATCACAGTCGCTGCGTTACTAAATGTTGTTTCTGGTTAAAGCAACTTTATTTCAAGTTGTTGTTTTTAATGTGACAGAAAACAGAAAATGTTCGTCGTCTTATTTAAATCTAAATTCACAATTTCTGCTAACTGTCCGTTAGAAGATGATGGTCCACACCGGATGGATCATTAAAAGCAGCTAAGCTACGAGCTAAGCTACGAGCTAAGCTAACAGGCCGACCTCGGGGGAAAAACCTCCGTCTTGTCGAAGCTCCAAAATTCACGTTTGAAACTCGTGCCTTCGTGTAAAAGTTGTTTTTCTCTGCAAAAAGAAGCTGAGAACTTGTTTACTGATGTTTTATTAAAATCTTTATGTGAAAACTGCTAAAGAGCTCAAACCACCGAGCGTCCGCCATTTTGAGAACCAGAGACAGCCCATGTCACGTCAAGGGGTCATTTTTCTTAAAGAGACACTGCTCGCTCCCTCACTATCCATCCTTCAGTTCAAACTGCCTTATACTGCCATCCAGTGGTCAACAAAAGGTACTGCACTCAAAATTAACCAACATTTCTTCTTAAATTTCAAATTTCAAACAATATTATTGTTTATCGCAATAATTTGAAACAATTAATCGCCCAGTGAAATGTGTTATCGTGACAGGCTCTAGGTACGTGTACAAATAAAATACAGATTATTACAGCTATTATGGCTTTAAAACAAAGACATTTAACTGTTTATGCAAATTGATCCGGTGTTCTAATCTAGTGTTAAAGAAAGATGATAAAGTGTTGTGTGGAGGAGAATATAAAACGTTTGTTATGTTCACTTCAGAGTCTGGTCCTCCGAGTTGCAGCTTTAACTCAGAGCAGGTTAAAATCAGATTAAAAACATGTTCATCTTTTTACATTAAAAAAACGTGTGATTTGGTCAAACGATGTTCTAAAGCCAGACGTCCCAGCATGAACACATCCAGACACTAAAGGTTTCAGGTACGCATGAATAAAAATAAACTAACTGTTTATTATTAACAGCTGGAAGGCATAAAACAAATTACAGGTTTCTTCTCTGAGAAAGTGCCAAAACATCAACTCTATGATTTTCTGTTCCTCTCGGGGAGTCGTCGTGACTTCTTCTAACCTGATAAAATTATAATAATTATAATAATAATTTTAACCATTTCCAGATAATACGCAGCTACGACACGGATGGAAACAAGAACGGCTGTTGGAGAATTTCTCACATCACGCTTCGTCAGATTCCTGTGAGCAACAACAACAGAGATCTGAGTCCCAACATGTTTTTATTGCTAAGGATTATTGTGCTGCACTTTTCTTAGACCTGTCTAAAGATTCTGACTCTGTGGATCAGAACATCTTGTGTCAAACTCTCAGACATCGGTTTCTCAGAACACACCATTGGTTGGTTCTCTAACTATCTTTCAGACCAGAGGCAATGTGTTCAACATAATGGTACTTCCTCCAGTTGTTTAACAGTTAACAATGGTGTACCACAAGGCTCAGTTGTAGGACCCACCTTATTCACAATCTACATGCAGGTCAGATCTTCCCTGTTGCATCCATATATTTCTATGCTGATGACACAGTTGTTTCTTGTCGAGCTAAAACAGTTGCTAAGGTTTTCCAGCTTTTGCAATTTAACATCATCCAGTCAGATTTGTTTCACCTCAAACTTGTCCTAAACGCCGAAAAAACAAAACAAAGGGATGTTATTTTCAAACAGGAAGTCAGTCCCAGAAGTTCTTCCTTCAATTTTATCCTTGAATGGTTTCCCTATTGAGTTTGTTGATTCCTACAAATATGTGGGTATCTTGAGCGATTCTATTTAAACTCGACATGGAAAACTTGTTAAAGAAACTGAAAGTTAAACTGGGTTTCTTTTTCAGAAACAGATCCTGTCTAACTCTGAACCCTGAGGAACACCTTGTATCTGTGACTTTCCTTCCCTCCATTGATTACGGTGACATTATTTACATGAACGCTCCTACAAGAACCCTGCAGATGTTGGATGCTGCAGATGTTGGATGCTGCAGATGTTGGATGCTGCAGATGTTGGATGCTGTCTATCATGGTGCACTAAGATTCATAACTGGCTGTGATTATCGTACCCACCACTGCTCCCAGTATTCACTGGTTAACTGGTCACCATTAACTTCACACAGACTCTCTCACTGGTACATTTTCATCTTTAAATCACTTCCTGGTCTGTTGCCTTCATACATCTCCTCCTACATGTCTCTGTGTGAGTGCAGCTACAGCGTGCGCTCTCAGGACATCATTACCTGCAGTGTTCCCTCAGTGAGGACTGAACTAGACAAAAGGACCTTCTCCTCCTCCGCTCTTGTTTCCTGGAATATCTTGTAAAAAGACCTGAAGTGGCTTCAAACATCTGTTCAGTTCCTGCAGATGTTCCAGTTTTTAGTTTTCTACATGGCCTCATAATCCAGCTGTTTTGTTACTTTTTCTTTTAAATACCATTTAATTTTCACTTGTTATTCTCAGTTTGTACACATCCTTTATGACTGTCCACTGTTGTCATCACTCTTTGTTAAATCAGGTCCCTCTCTAAATGAGTCCCCGAGGCTCAATGGGACTAACCTGTAGAAATGAAGGTTGAATGAATGAATGAATGAATGAATGAATGAATGAATGAATGAATGAATGAATGCTAACGTCACAGAACATGCTTACAACAAGCATCTTGTTACTGACACACAGCATGCTGAAGACACAGATTATGCTAACAACTCATTTTATTTACTAGCCTGAGATTAACGTCACTTCCTGTTTGGTTGGGTTTATAATAGGAGTTGATCAGGGATTGAAAAAAGATGAGATTTTTCAGGTGGATTATAAAATATAAGTTTTATTTAAACTGAACATTGTGAGGATGTGGCAGTTGTTCCTGTATAAGTGAAGAGTTCATGTGGAACCCCCCCCCCCCAACTGTTTTACTCCACATTTTTGTTTTGAGGCCTGGAAATGCGTCTTGAAGATTTCAAAATAAAAGCGTTCTTCTCCTCTCTCAACGTTCTGGCTCCAGAACAAGTCGAGGTCAACAAAGGCTTCAGTTTGATGAGAAAAGACGATCGGTGTGTCCTCGTTCTTGAACCGTGCACGTGTTGAAGGGCAAACGACGTGCACGTAGCTGTGCGTGAAAGTGGAGGATGACGAAGAAGCTCGAGCTGATCTTCACATGAACAGTGGATCAGGATGAAACACTTAATGTGAATTTATGATAAGAGCTGGAGGCTCAGCTCATCTGGCTTCATTCATGTTTGTCTTTATTATTATTACTATTATTACTATTATTATTATTATTATTATTATTATTATTATTATTATTATTATATAAAGTGTTAAAAAGCTCCTCGGCTGGACGGACAGAAGTCACAAGGCGCCACATCACCTGCAGGAGGAACCGTTAAAAATAAAGTGACGCCTGACAAGAAATAATCATTTATAATAAACAGGAAACGTTCAGCACCATTGAGTTCAAGGAACACCTGATTTTAGCTGACAGCAGGAAAATAACAGCTGAAAGAGCTCAATAGGGCACACATGTACCAGAATGAGCTGAACTGGGCACAGAGACGTTGACTGGACTATAAAAACGCTAAAATTGGCCAAAAAGTAGCTGAAAAAGTTTAAAAAAAGCTGAAATTAGCTGAAAGGAGAATAAAATGCTGAAATTATTAAGAAGAAGCACAAACGGCTGAAATTAGCATGAAACATCTAAAACGTGGCTGAAAGGATGAAATTAGAACAAAGAAGCTGAAAAGATAAAAACAAGCTGAAATGAGCCGACAGAAGCTGAACAACAGCCGAAGCGAGCGGTAAAAGGTTTAAACAGCTGAAGAGATTGGAGATGAAACAAGATGGCTGACAAAGCTAAACTTCAACAATTCAAAACCAAAAGTCTCAGAAGGAACGTCCTGAAGGAGCCGAACGTTTGGATTCATGAACGAACGAGTTCTGAGCTGCACAGAACCGGACCTGAATGACCCAGAAGAACCGGACCCGAACGACTCACAAGAGAATCGGATCTGAATGAATGACAAGAGTGGCTGGACTGACACAAGGGTCACTGCCAGACCACAAGACCTGGACCCAGTCCCTGGACCCAGTCCCTGGACCCAGTCCCTGGACCCAGTCTCTGGACCCAGTCTCTGGACCCAGTCTCTGGACTCAGTCTCTGGACTCAGTCTCTGGACCCAGTCCCTGGACCCAGTCCCTGGACCCAGTCCCTGGACCCAGTCCCTGGACTCAGTCCCTGGACTCAGTCTCTGGACCCAGTCCCTGGACTCAGTCCCTGGACTCAGTCCCTGGACCCAGTCTCTGGACCCAGTCCCTGGACCCAGTCCCTGGACTCAGTCCCTGGACTCAGTCCCTGGACCC